TTTTAACTACCGGGAGTTGAAAAATGTTCCTCTACTTCTTCGGAGGATGGATTGAAAAATTTCCCATCATGAATTATGGGAATATAATAGGGAAAAAGCAATAACTGGTGGAAAAAAGGGGAAATTGAAAATACACCAATTTTAATTGCAAAAATGCATTTTGCAATATTGTTACGATGGAGAATGTGCGGTAAAAAATAAGGAAAAGTTTTGAATTTACTGTAATATTATTTTATTGAAGAATATATAGTTGAAATGAGGTATTATCACTGCAGAATGATGCATTTTGATGGAAAAAATGAAGCTCAAATGAGGCCTAGAAATTAAAAAGAAAAGAAGGATTTCAAAATTTCAATTTTGAATTCAAATGTGACCGCCTGAATTGGAGATAATGGCACCTGCATGCGAAGCCAAGCGAGCCAATAGACTTGCTTAGCTTTGACTAGCGAGTTGGCTTGCTCGGTTATGTCTGGGGCGAGTCAAGCTGACTCGACTTATTCAATTGGACAATTTCACCATTAGTACATTTAAGTTGTAGAAAGAAAGATGTTCAAATATGAGTAAAATAATATCATTTAGCTTTATTAGTGTTTATTATCATTCTATGTGACAGTGTGATTATTATCAAATTTTCTAATTTATAACTTATTCGACAATGTTACAATTATCCCATTACTAAATAACTTGGTGTTAAGCACCAATGTGGCAGAATAACATTACTCGACCATAAAATACAAAGCAAGTGTAAATTTTGCAAAATGGGTGAGCAGTCGGACCGAACGATAAAAAAACAATCAACTCAATTTAGGCTAGTTTATGAGTAGATCCGTTATAATGGACAAACTATGTCTGGCTGGCTTGATTGTCCGATGCAAATCCATGAAGGACTCATTTGGGTAACTTTATCGAAAAAGTAAAATACATTTAAAAGAGCCACTACAATAATTAAACATAATTAAAATGTACTTAAATTCTACTTGTGTGTGTACATATATTATATTCATTTTATTAAGTCCAAATTTTAATGAGCAATTTTTATATTTGTAATTGGCAATTTTCTTAATCAAAATTAAATTGTAGTTTAATTGTATTAAGAGTTTATCGAATTGTACTCAAAGTCAAAATATAAGTTATTGAATCATAATTAAAGTCAAAAGAGTTGAGATTTGTAGTATAGTCCTTGAAAGAGTCCAGAAGATCACATATGATCATTGGAATGCAATTAGAAGTTTAAAGAGTCGCACAAGTTATAGAGTTAGCTTTCTAAAAGAATATCAAGTTGAAATTGAAAAATAATTTTTTATACAAGTGTTTTTATGAAATAATCTTTTCGTGCATAAAACGATTTTTGAATTTTTATCATTCATTACTAAATATCAAAGTATTAGTACCTTTATATGAAGAAGTCTAGCTTTTGATCTTGTTTCGAAGTTTGTTTCTTAAACTTCTCATCTTGATATTTCTTTAATGTCATCTCTTATACTCTTGATTTTGCTCATTTTTGACATTTGTCTTTTAAGCTCTCGCCTCGAACGATTTGACTTGAAAGCTCAACTTTCACTTTGATCTTCATTTTGAGTTCTATTTATATGTTGATTTTGACAATACTTGATTGAT